GCACTTCAATCCGGACATGCATATGATCACCTTGTCTTACATCATACATTCATGCTCACCGCAGCGCTCTGTGCAGAGAAGCTTCTCTGCATAACCCCCTACGGCTCACGCTATACACGCACCTCACGAAGCGGCCTGTGCGCGAGAGGCAGCTCCGCACGCCCCAAGGGCCCACGCTTCTACACGCATAGTCATTACAGAGCGTGCGGCCTCGTCACCCCCGCATATTCTCTGTATCATACGCTGACACACGCATGCTCAAATATAGCAGATCTTGTATGAGAAAGCTCTCTACATTGCTGCTCCACATTCTCAACACGCAGAGCCCGCATCAGCTCTGCGATTACACGCATTTACTCTTCACTTCATGCATCCACCACGCACGCATGATCACATAGCCGCTCATTCAGTGAGTGTCTGTTCCCACAGATCCCCTGCGGCCTACGTCATACATGCACCCTCACGAAGCGGTCTGTGCGCGAGAAACCCTCCGCACGCTCCAAGGGCCAACGCTTCACACACGCATAATCATTACAGAGCGTGCGGATTTGTCACCCCCGCATATTCTCTGTATCCTATTCATGCAATTCTGCTTCCAGGCAATGCTGCCTCCATGCAATGCAGCCTCCACGCAATGCAGCCTCCACGCAATGCTGCCTCCATGCTATGCTGCCTCCATGCTATGCTGCCTCCATGCTATGCTGCCTCCATGCTATGCTGCCTCCATGCAATGCTGCCTCCATGCAATGCTGCCTCCATGCAATGCTGCCTCCATGCAATGCTGCCTCCATGCAATGCTGCCTCTATGCAATGCTGCCTCCATGCAATCTATGCAATGCTGCAATGCTGCCTCCATGCAATGATGCAATGCTGCCTCTATGCAATGCTGCCTCTATGCAATCCATGCAATGCTGCCTCTATGCAATGCTGCCTCCATGCAATCTATGCAATGCTGCCTCCATGCAATGATGCAATGCTGCCTCTATGCAATGCTGCCTCTATGCAATCCATGCAATGCTGCCTCTATGCAATGCTGCCTCCATGCAATGCTGCCTCTATGCAATCTATGCAATGCTGCCTCCATGCAATGCTGCCTCCATGCAATGCTGCCTCTATGCAATGCTGCCTCGATGCAATCTATGCAATGCTGCCTCTATGCAATGCTGCCTCCATGCAATCTATGCAATGCTGCCTCTATGCAATGCTGCCTCCATGCAATCTATGCAATGCTGCCTCTATGCAATGCTGCCTCTATGCAATGCTGCCTCTATGCAATGCTGCCTCTATGCAATGCTGCCTCTATGCAATGCTGCCTCTATGCAATGCTGCCTCTATGCAATGCTGCCTCCACGCAATGCAGCCTCTATGCAATGCTGCCTCTATGCAATGCTGCCCCGATGCAATGCTGCCCCGATGCAATGCTGCCTCTATGCAATGCTGCCCCGATGCAATGCTGCCCCGCCTCCAGATAGGCAGCTTCCCACGGGAGGCCTGCGCATTCCCCGGCACACATAGCGTGGCTTCCTCTTTTGGGGGATCTGAGATCATCTCAGCTGCAATCGATCTCATAGCTGCAAGTGTCACTGCCGGGGTCAATGCGCCAAACAAATAAATCATTTTAATGTATTTATCGTGTCTTTGGTCTCTTCAGATTGAAATGAAGCTCAAGCGGATGTTCAGACTGAAAGACCGAGTGCCTGCCAGCCTCGAGCCTCAGCCAATCACACAGCTCTGCCAGCCTCGAGCCTCAGCCAATCACACAGCCAGGCCAGCCTCCTGCCAACCCTCTCAGAGCAAAGCGGGCAGTTTAAAAGGCAGCCACTTCCTGACAAACAACGCTTCCTGAGGCTCTTAAACACCCACCACCTCCCCAGCACCCCCTCTGGCTCTTGGCTCCCGCTCTGGCTCCCGCTCTGGCTCCCGCTCTAGGCTCCCACTCCGGCTCCTGCTCCGCCTACGCCCCATTCACACCATACTCTAGCCACCACCAGTGATTGACCCCGGGGGATCTGAGATCATCTCAGCTGCAATCGATCTCATAGCTGCAAGTGTCACTGCCGGGGTCAATGCGCCAAACAAATAAATCATTTTAATGTATTTATCGTGTCTTTGGTCTCTTCAGATTGAACCATGTATAACAGTTCCGTATATAAGCAGATCCATATATAAGCAGGTCCAGATATAAGCAGAACCAATATATGCAGTTCCATGCACTGTATAAGCGGTTCCAGGTATAACAGTACCATATAATCAGTTCCAGGTATGAGCAGTCCCAATATGAGCAGTTCCATAAAAGCAGTTCCATAATACATAAGCAGTTCCGTAATACATAAGCAGTTCCGTAATACATAAGCAGTTCCGTAATACATAAGCAGTTCCATAATACGTAAGCAGTTCCACAATACGTAAGCAGTTCCATAATACGTAAGCAGTTCCAGATATAAGCAGTTCCGTGAGGGATTAAACTGAGAGCTCGCAGTCCAATTTGAGGGATTAAACGGAGCTTGCAGTCAGAGTGAAGGATTTAAACGGAGCTTGGTTAAAGAGAGCCTGCAGACCAATGCGAGGGCTTTAAACTGATGCTTGCCCACCAATGCACGGGGCCAATTGAGCCTGCATTACAAGCGCGGGGCCAACTGAGCCTGCAGGACAATGCGAGGGGAATAAAACCGTCCGCAGATCTCATACTTACCCGCAACGCCAGAAGACAAGGGACAACACGACGGGACCACACCGTATGGCACGAGGAGGCAGGGATGCGCACGGCTCCCACCGCACCGGGCCAGACCGGCCGTATGCAGCAGCAGGCCGCGACGAGACGAGCAGCGGCGAACCCGCAGAAAGAGCCCGCAAAGGAGGAGAGCGGCAAAGACCCACGGACCACAGCACGAGACCCGCAGCAGGTGCAGCGACGTGGAGGAGGAGCAGACGACACGCAGCAGGACAGAGGACAGCAGGGACACGCACGAAGTAAGTGAGAGTAGAACAAAGCGATTCCTCCAGAACGACTCTTTGCAAGGCTTCGCTCTTTGCTGCAGGCTTCAAGAGGCCGAGAATGGGAGTTCCTCCGCTTTTAAGCAGCTTGCCTGGCTGGACCGGTGATTGGAAGGGGGCGTTTGCCGTGCGATAGGCTGGGGATGAGAACCGGCCTGGAGGGGTTACCTTTGGCTGACGTCTACCAAATTGAACTTACGCTGGCTGCATTATCGATGGTAGACGAGCATGAACAAAGAAGTTACAGAATGCAAGTGACATTATACATCATGTAGGAATGGAGACATCCAATTAGCATTTGCCACAGTGCTAGTAGACTCAACCTTGAGATAACCAAAACATGTAGTTGAAAAGTACTGCCTTGTGCATATTGTTAGAGTGATGAGTTTAACTGTTACGGCTCCAGGTCTGGGCCGTTTGCGCAAGCATCCCCTCCCTCTTCCCAATGCGTCTCTCCCGTCTGTGGGTGTCTGTCTTGTTCCCGCCGGAACTTGGGCCCGCCTCCCGGACGCTGCCATTCGCCCGGAACCCTCCTGTATGGCCAATAGGAGCTCTGGCTGAAGCAATCTGCGCCACCCACGACCGATAAAACAGCAGTGCGACGTGCGAACAACACGGCCCATGTTTAGTACAAGTGCGCCACTCTTGGGACCTATTTTGGGAGAGCTGACCGTGTTGAGCTTGAGATATTAAGACTGAGATATTGAGACCTTATGTGACCTTACGAGACTTTAAAAGAACTTTGATTTTGTACTAACAGATAGAGTCAAAAGGAAAAACAAAAGTCTTCTAAGTTTTGTACAATACCTCTTCTGCCCTAAGATTAAAAGGCCATTTATTTACCAAATGCACCTGTTTGTTTATGTTACATTTCCTTTCCCCTTCTCAAAGCCGAGTTTAAAGCTGTAACATTAACTTTAACCACAGTTGCTTCAAAGTGTCACAAAATCTCTAAAATATGTGAGGAAACAGTAAGTTTTGTTTCAACCAGAAACTAGATTTATGCAGAGTGAGTGACAGAAAACTAGGGGTGTATCAGGAGATGTTTATTTACATTTAGTCAGGGAGCGGCTTAAACACTCCACACAAGTGCTCGTCTGGTCTCTAAGCCTGACTGTGCTTCCACACCAAGAGGTTTAAATAGAGGTCAAGAGAACCAAACATGATGAGGAGTACACAGCGTGCTTCTTCTGTGGGATGAGTTCACAAAAGAAAGTGTTGGTAGAGCTACATGATTGATGAAATCAAGTTTTTTTGTGTGGATGCAATCAGAAAATCTGCAATTTCTAAAGCTCTTTCCATACAAATAACAGAAAAAAGAAGCAGAAGAGAGAATAAACTGGGTAAATGTTTTGATTAAAGTACTTATGGAAGATTTGTCAATGGAGTAGATATTTTTGTCTTTTCTCAGGCAGACTTATTATTTTCTCATTTCAAATTTTCATCTTTTTCATAATTTTTAGAAAGTCAGTAATGTCGAAATGTGTTGCACAACTAAAATCTGTTTGATCATTTTGTCCAGCCATTTTCATCCCCTTAATCAATTGTGTATGAGGTACAGAAGTGTTTCTTATAGTCATTTTTTCAAACATAACTCTCTTGAAGTTGTTATTTTCAATTTGAGTAGTGTATATAAAAAAATTAGTCACATTTGCAATGTTGGTCAGAAAAATCACATGTAGATGTTTGGCCAAAATCGTGCAGCCCTAAGTGATAGTACCCATGTTGAATGATTCCAGTATAGAGCAATGCACTCTGACAGAAACGACAACAATGATGGAAGTGGAGGACCTTGTAATGCCTACATTGTACATCAATAATAAAATTAGGTTTTATACTGCAAAAAGTGATGGAAAAAAGGGAAAATATTGCTCAAATTTGGCAAACTGTATCTTAATATTGAGCATATTTAGACTTTTTGAGCAGATTTGCCAATGGGATAAGCAAAATAATCTTTTATAATTTTTTATTGTTTTTTTTTCATATGTGCGAGACTTGATACTCACTGGCACGTTAATAACTTGGGAGAAGATGGCCTCGGGGACAGCCAGCAGCACCGACAGCACCCAGATAGAGACGGCCTTCAGACAAGTCCAGAACACTGCGCTCGACGTCTGGATGTCCATGGGGTTCACAATGGCCCTGTACCTATCAAGAACATATCGAAAAGAATGAAATCAAAAGTCAAAATATTTTTTTAAATTCAACTTGGAACATGGAAATCTAATTGACGTATGCCAAGCCCTAGTTGTAATTTTAATGATTATGTCTTAAAGTCCATTTTCTAAATTTTCTAAATTTGATTCTGTTTGATTCTCTGATTTGTCGTTGGTAAATAGTCAACTTTGTAATGTCCTCTGAGGCTTGTGATTTAGAGCTTTACAAAATCACAACAACAACAACAACAAATATGTGTTGTTTACATTGTATGTGACAAATGAAAAATATCTATATCGACAAAAAGAAATTTACAGTAATTGAATTATCTGAGAATTTTTATTTGGGATTTTTACATGCTGTGAGCCCATTATCAACATTATAACAAATAAACTTGATACAGTATATGTCCCTTTGTGCGTAATGATATATTAGTTTCCCTTTGAAAGTTGAATTACAGTAAATTTACTTTTAAATGATATTGTAATTTTCCGGCTTCATGTGTCTAGGAAGCCAATGGGGAGTATAAAGTTATGGTAATTCTAAGACAGCAATCATCCAAGCTGCCTAAACCGATCAACAGTTTCCTGTGTTTGAAAACCGGCATCTCGTGGGGAAAGCATTTCTAATCTATGTCATCAAAAATGGCTGACATATTCTGCATTATGTATGTGCCACTGTCAGGTCCAGTTTATTCTTCTCAAACAGCATTGATTTGATGTGACAGAAGTGAGAGCGCTCAAACAAACTCAGTTGAAAAGAATCTGAATTACAACATTCTCCCACAATTGTCACCCTCAAGGTTCCACTTTTATTGATTTTAGAATCGATTTAGCAAGAGAACAAGTAAAGAGTGTAGAGACATGAGAGCGGGACTGTAGCTGAACACACAACAGAGCCACTCGGCAAGAAAGAGTTTAGTTGTATAGAACAGTTCATACACAAGGCAATTCAAAGTGCTGAACAAAATAAGAAAGCAATCATAAATAATCACAGAACATTAAAAAGAAAGATAAAAATATAAAATACCTCAGTTGTATGCACAGCTAAACAGGACTGTTTTCAACCTGGTTTTAAACATTGTCAGAGAAGAGGCCTGTCTCACACTTTCAGGCACTAACAGGAGTCCAGTCCCTGTGCTCCTCAGAGTCCAGGCTGGCTCATATGGGACTAACATGTCACTAATATATTTTGGTGCGAGGCCATGGGGAGACTTGTACACAAGCAGAGCAGTTTTAAAGTCTATTCTCTGAGCCACAGGAAGCCAGTGCAGAGACCTGAGAACTGGACTAATGTGGTCGTACTTCCTGGTTCTAGTCAGGACTCGAGCTGCTGCATTTTGAATGTACTGCAGCTGTTTAACAGCCTGTTTGGAGAGACCTGTGAGCAGGTGTAGAGATTGAACAGAAGAGGTCCCAGGATCGACCCCTGTGGTACTCCACAAGTCAGGGCCATATGATCTGAGACACAGTTTCCTATCTCCACAAAGTACTTCCTGTCTTCAAGGTAAGACCTAAACCAACTTAGGGCGGTGCCAGCGACGCCAACCCAGTCCTCTAGTCTCTGCTAGAGGATCTCATGGTCGACGGTGTCAAAGGCAGCACTCAGATCTACTGTAACAGGATTAAGATTGAGACTTTGCCTGCGTCAGTGTTTAGCCGGATATCGTTTGTAACCTTGACGAGGGCAGTCTCAGTGCTGTCTAAAGCCGGACTGAAACATATAAAATGAGTTGTTGATAATAAGAAATCTATTTAGCTGTTGGTAGACAACTGTTTCAAGGACTTTCCCCATAAATGGCAGATTTGAGATGGGACGATTGTTGTTAAGTACCGTAGCATCCAGACTGCTCTTTTTTAGAAGGGGCCTGATGTCTGCAGTTTTCAGGGCCTTTGGGAATATTCCAGAATGGAGGGACATGTTTACAATCTGTGTGAGTGAAGGTAACAGACTGCTCAGAACAGACTTCAGAAATCTAGTGGGTAGTACATCCAGGCTGCATGTGGAGGAGCTCAGACTGGAGATTATCTCTTCGACAGTTTGATCATTTACAGGTGCAAAATGAGTTAGCTCAAAGAGCCTTTCTGGCTGTTGGAATCTGTGGATTGGAGACAATGGACAATCCAATCTGTGGATTGGAGACAATGGCGTTTTTCATGCCTTGAACCTTGTCATTGAAAAAATGTGCAAACTCATTGCATTTACGTTTGGAAGTAAGCTCTACTGGCAACTGAACAGACATTACAATCTGACTTCAACACAATACTGCAATCCCTGCTCCAGGACAAGCTCTCCCAGCTCAACGTGCCCGATGCCACCTGCAGGTGGATCACTGACTTCCTGACAGACAGGAAGCAGCGAGTGCTCCTGGGGAAGAATGTCTCGGACTCTTGGATTATAAATACAGGTACCCCACAGGGCTGTGTTTTTTCTCCCCTTCTCTTCTCCCTGTACACCAACCACTGCACCTCCAGCCACGACTCCGTGAAGCTCATCAAGTTTGCGGACGACACCACCCTCATTGGTCTCATCTCCAACAACGATGAGTCCGCCTACAGGAGGGAGGTGGACCGGCTGGTGTCCTGGTGCAGTGGTAACAACCTGGAGCTGAACGCCCAGAAGACAGTGGATATGATTGTGGACTTCAGGAAGAGCACAGTCCCCCCTCCCCCACCCTCCCTGGTAGACTCCCCCATCACCTCTGTGGAGTCGTTTCATTTCCTGGGCACCACCCAGGACTTCAAGTGGGAGCCGACCATCAGCTCCCTCATCAAGAAGGCCCAGCAGAGGATGTACTTCCTGTGGCAGCTCAGAAAAGCCAAGCTTTTCTGATGTTGGTGCACTCGCATCATCGAGTTCATCCTCACCGCCTCCAACGTGTGGTTCGCTGGAGCCACAAGCAGAGACTACAGTGCAACTCGGCAGAGAAGGTGATCGGCCGCAGCCTCCCACCGGTGCAGGACCTCTACGACGCTCGAGGCCGGGCTGGTCGTATCACTGCTGACCCCTCTCACACTGAACATGGACTGTTCCAACCCCTCCTTTCTGGTAGGAGGCTTTGGTCCATTCAGACCGGAACAGTTTCTTCCCCTCTCCTGTTTATAACGCCACTTTGCTGCTGTCACCTTACTGCACTGCTTAATGTCTATTGTGTGCACCGAGTGCACTTGCAGTAATAATATTAATAATTTATTTTTATATTTTTGAAATGTATGTAGATACATTTGTTTGCACCGAAAGCAATATCCGAGTCTGTGACTTTCTGTTACTTACATGGCAATACATCTGATTCTGATTTACTCAGGAGCCGGAGGGGGTCCGGTTCGGAGAACACAGGATTTCATCTCTGTTGTTTGCGGACCATGTTGTCCTGTTGGCTCCAACGAGCCAGGACCTGCAACATGCACTGGGACAGTGCTGTATCGGACCGTTGTGGTGAAGAGGGAGCTGAGCTGAAAGGCAAAGCTCTAGATTTACCGGTCAATCTTTATCCCCTACCTGACCAATGGGCCCTGGGGAGGTGTTCTGGACACTTCCCACCGGGAGGAGACCCTGGGAAAGACCCAGGACACGCTGGAGGGACTATGTCTCTCAGCTGGCCCCGGGACGCCTTGGGGCCCCCCCGGATGAGCTGGAGGAAGTGTGTGTGGATAGGGAAGTCTGGGCGTCTCTGCTTAGACAGCTGCCCCAACGACCCGACAACGGATGAAGCGGAAGAAAATGGAATGGAGAAATTAAAGCCGCAAGCGGCGTCAAACGGCCCTCGCCGCACCGCGCGCACCACCCCGTGCCAAGCCACCCCGCACCACGCCGCCCTGCACCACGCTGTCCCGCATCACGCCGCCCCGCATCACGCCGCCCCGCACCAAGCCGCAACCCGCCGCACCACACCGTACCACGCAATACCGCGCATAGGAGGTGGCGCCGCCGTGTGATGATTTGTTCCCGTAGCCATAGAAGAAGTTAGTCAAATTGTAATGAATATGATAAGTAGAGCTGGTTTGGCTCCCCATGTAAACTTTGAATCAGTCTGTAGGGGGAGCTAATGGGCCAATTTCAAATATTTCACTTTCACCTGACCTAAACCCTGGAGTTGAACAATGGATTCAAGTTTAATGCAAATCAATCTTTGTTTGTGCAAACGGGGAAAAAATTAATGTTGTCAAAAACGGCCAAAAAAACCCTCACATTTTGCCGCTCCGCTGCTCAAGCAACGTTTCACTGATCAAAATTCCCTGAAGTCATTTTGATGGTACATGTGTTTAGACAATGTGGAGTGATATGGAGGCCAATCGGTGAAACGGCCGAGGAGGCGTCGCTTTCCAAGCGACATGTATGAAAATGATTGCGGATCATTTTTCCATTTTGCAGTGAAATTTATGGGCTTCCCGTTTGTCAGAGGGCGGAGCCATGGTAACATTTCGGTCGTATCTTGACTTGAGGAACATGTGTACCGAATTTCATGGCTCTACGACAAACTTGACCTTTGAAACTCCCATTGGCTGTTGTAGGTGGCGCTGTTCTGGCATTTTTTGAGTCCCATAAAAATAAACACCCAAATATCAAATTTTTCACCAGGTGTGATGTTTGGGCAAAATTTTACAACTTTTCATGCATGTTCAGGGGGTGAAATTAAGGCTCAAAGTGCAGAATTTGACATCTCTCGAGCAAAAACAATAGGCCCTTTCCCCGTTCGGGGCTCGGGCCTAAAAAAAAGTTTTTCTAAATTTTGTTGATAGGACAAACAGTGGCTACAGAAGAATGGCTTTTTCTTCTTTTCTTTCCTCATCTGAACATAGTGTTTGCTTACAACAACAAACATTTTGTGAAGAGGTCAAAACAAACAAAGGGGCGACAGTAGCTCAGTTGGTAGAGCATTGGCCTTAAGCCCAGAAGGTCGTGGGTTCAATTCCCACCTCTGCACCTTCTCCACCGACTCCCACTGATGACTGCTGTCGTTGTGTCCTTG